GTCGCTGTCGTAATTGCCGTCGTAGTCGCCGTAGGCAGTACCATTAGTATAAATATTCGTCGGTCAGTTCTGGAATTTGATACGGGATCGACGGTAAACATGCTCTCGTCGGTGAACAGGATAATCGGATTTTTTCGCTTAAGGAAGTTCAAGATTTTCTTGCATCGTTCGACTCGTAGCTCCCGGATGCGGTTGGTAATCATGTGAGTTTTTTTTTCCGTGACCTCAACTTCGCCCCACAATCTTCCTTTACGATCTTCCGTGCCGTAAAGTCACCTTTGCCATTTTCCTTATTGAACGCACTGGATTCACCCGAATCTTCCTTTTGATAGCAGCGATAACCCTCGGAACCCGAGCTGAACTCGGACGACCTGTGGCCACCTTCGCGGATAGTTGTCCTTTCATTTCTCGGTCTAAAACCCTTTTGACGGTCCACCGAGACACTCCCACGGCGATTGAAATGTGTTTTTGCGACATTTGCGCGTGGGACAAATCACGAATACGCTGCCACTTCGTCATGGTGCAACTGTCAAACTAATAGCGAATTCGTTTATTATCGGGGTTGGAACCAGTTCCAAACCAGTGCGAAACCGAACTTTTTGTCAGTGCGTACCTCAACCTGAGCTAGGTTTTAAAAACAAACGACCAAACTGACGTTTGTCAGAAAACAAGCAGACCCAATCTTGATACCCGATCCAGGTTGGAACTGAATAATAAACGAATTCGCTATAAGTAAATCATTTTCTTTTATACACAGCCTACTACGGTATGAGCTATGAGTTACGTGCATGCAAAGAAAATCAAGGCATTGTATGCACAGGTGAAACGGGAGCCTTATTTGTACGATGGTGCAAACATTATCACGCATACGATATTTCTGTTGTTCATTACATACCAAGTGAAATTCGAGAACGTAATTTCATTTGAATAGCTTGTTTAACCATTGCTTAAACAATCGCCACGTCGGCCATAGCTTGACATGATTGCCTGAACAATGCGTAAAGAGCAAATTAAAACATTGAACGTCCCGTGAAAGTGGAACTTAATGAAGGCCTAAGTACTCCTTCGTTGCTTTTAGTTTTCGGATTTGAAAGAGGTTGCAGTGGCTAGTTTACTGAGCAGAAAAACGCGGTCGCAGGTTCTTTCATATTAAAAATGTATGGTAAGATCGCTTGTTTATCGTGAATTTTGTAAAACTTTTCGTTGTCGTCGGTGCCGGATTTGAAAAGTTATAACAACTTGAGAAACGGTATAATGTGATATGAGGGGCTTGGTGGCCTTAGAGCAACCCTGAGCATAACATCATGAATCTAATTTCAAGCCCATCCACATTCAAGATTCGTCAATCGTTTTATTTTTTAACATAGCAATGAGCTCGTCTGCATAGTGGCAAACGTTTTTGCTTACTGAGCAAAAGACCGTGGGTTCAATCCAAAGCTCTTTCGCGTTAAATGATCGTTAGGACATCAATTCAGCTTATCGTTTACTAAAACGAACCCTACTGCAAACTCAACCCAATATCCCAGTGATTCTTGGTGGAAGTGCAGAGGTGTTCTCGGCTTCCATTAAAGAGAGTGTCACGTCAACACATTCCTACCCCTTTCTTTCTTGACCTGCGTTTGGGCACGGCCGGCGCTGGTATTGCCTAGTTTGAGATCACCAGTATTTACACATTGAGGATGATTGCTAGTCTCAAGCATCGTCTATTGGTTCTCTGTTACAGCTGGCCTGGCAATAACAGAGTAGCAACCGTGGGCGGTCAATCATGCTCATGCTCATGCTTATGAACTTTCAAGAACATTTTGATTTCATCCTTCAATTCAAAAGCACGGTTGAGAACATTGCCTTTGGACAACCTGCACACAACAGTGTAGAAAAGAAGAACCACGTGATCTGAATTAATTTACTTGTATAGTTTTTTTTAAATAAACGAGTGTTCAGAGCTCCAGATTTGACATAGTTAACAATTTTGATGACAGAATCAAGTACTTTTAACATTAGTTCCGGCAGAGTATTGCTCTTGCTGACAAGGGCATATCAAACTCCTGTGGCATACGAAGCAAGCTCTACAATCTCTTTCTGAAATCTTGATTTGTTACCAAGCATTGCTAGAGCGTCATCGGTATTAACTCCACTTACTTTTTCCTACTGTAAGCCATCGGATTCAAAAAATGTTTTGATTTTAGCCATGATATTGTCACTTTTGGCATATTTTTTTTAGACTCAACAAACCAAGACCCTCGCAGCTCTTTGAAAAGACTTCGCGGACCACCGGTTGGTAAACCCTGATTTAGAGTGACCGACCACCTTAATGTATGGCTGGTAAACGGCTGGGCAATGCGTACCATTGATACTTCGCGTATCTGCAGGTATAAAATAGACCCCACTAGCGGTCCTTAGCCTCTTGTCCAGTAACTCCTATCCCTACCTCCCCACGGTGCCGGCTGGGGTACGAGTAACCATAGGGAAGATCGAGTAGCCAATCCCGGTGGGACCTTGGTCGTATGCTGACAGGGAAGGGAGGGATGCAGTCTTCGAGCGTCTGTTCACCATGGAGGTACGGCTCAAAACGGCGTCTGTTCTCCATGCTAGGAGCGGCTGATCAACGTCCTGGTGCCAACATGGAACTCTAAACAGTGCTGTGTACGATGGTCCCCCGGCGAGACAATGGGGGTTGATGCAGGTCCTACAAGCCAGCCGTAAAAAAATATTAAAGTACAGGAAGCAAGCAATGTAAATACGGACCGTAAGTAACGGAAACGGACTAACGATTGGAAACTCGGAACATGGAACTGCAAGTCTCTCAATTTCTTGGGAAGTATCCGCATTCTTTCCGATTTATTGAGGGTTTGCAAGTTCGACATCGTAGCGCAGCAGGAGGTTTGCTGGAAGGGATCGTCGGTACATACGTATAGGGATGGTTATACCATCTACCAGAGCTGCGGCAATACACATGAGCTGGGTACAGCTTTCATCGTGATGGGCGAAATGCAGAAGCACGTGATTGTGTGGTGGCCAATCGATAGCAGAATGTGCAAGTAGAGGATCAAAGGCCGTTTCTTCAATGTCAGTAAAATCAACATGCACAGCCCTCACTTAGCAAGTGACGATGACGATAAAGACGCTTATTACGCGCAGCTGGAACGAGAATACGACAGCTGCCCAAGCCATGACGTCGAATTCGGTTATAGGAAAGTTCAGCACTCACCAGCTAACGAACGCCAACGGCCTTATACTCATCGATTTCGCCACCTCTTAGAACATGGCCATACGTAGTACCTACTTCCAGCATAGCCTCCCATATCAGTACATCTGGAGATCACCGCAGCAGACAGAATCGCAGATCGACGGAAGGCACTTTTCGGACATTATCGACGGCAGGACCTATCGCGGCGCAAATATCGAATCGGACCACTACCTTCTAATGGTCAAGGTGCGCCAAAAACTTTCCCTACCCAACAACATTCGGTACCGACGCCCGCCATTGTACAATCTGGAGCGACTGAAGCTGCCCGAAGTCGCAACTGAGTACGTGCAATGCCTCGACGCAGCGTTGCCTGATGAGGGAGAACCCACCGAAGCCCCTCTTGAGGACTGCTGGAGCAACTTGAAAGCAGCCATTAACAGCGCTGCTGAAGGCGCCGTTGGGTTCGTGGAGCGGAATCGACGGAACGATTGGTTCGACGAAGAGTGTCAGATGGTTTTGGACGAGAAGAGCGCAGCGCGGGCGGCGATGCTGCAGCAAGGAACCCGTCATAATGTGGAGCAATATAAACAGAAGCGAAAACAGCAAACCCATCTTTTCCGGGATAAGAAGCGCCGCCTGGAAGAGCTGGAGTGCGAAGAAATGGAGCAGCTGTATCGTTCTCAAGAAACACGCAAGTTCTACAAGAAACTCAACGCATCCCACCAAGGCTTTGTGCCGCGAACCGAAATGTGCCGGGATAAGGAAGGGGGTATCTTTACGGACGAACGTGAGGTGATTGAAAGATGGAAGCAGCACTACGATGAACATCTGAACGGCGCAGAGGCGGAGGACCAAGGCGGCAGGAAGAATGGCTTCGTCGGTACAGCGCATGAAGGAACAGAACAGCTACCAGATAAAAGAGAGAGTAATATGCCCAGAATATAAAAAAGGCGACAAACTAGAATGTAAGAACTATCGAGCGATCACTATTCTAAACGTGGCTTACAAAGTGCTTTCCCAGATCATCTTTCGCCGTTTATCGCCGCTAGCAAGCAGATTTGTGGGAAATTATCAAGCAGGTTTTGTGGACGGGCGATCGACAACGGACCAAATCTTTGCGTTGCGGTAGATCCTTCAAAAGTGTCGTGAATATCAATTCCCTATGCACCACCTATTCATCGATTTCAAGACTGCCTGTTGGTTTTCCAACGAAGAGAAAGTAGACTCCGAACGTTTAACGATTTATTGAGGATACGTTAAAATTTCCTGGAATGATTTATGCCGTTGAAATTACAGTTCTTAGCTTCTAGTAGTATAATATCTTACGTTTTGTAATTCTCCGTCGTTGTAACCCGGTAACGAAACTGTTTTATAAGAAACTGGCCAACTCCTGAACCGAGTCCTGAACGGGGTGATAGTTCGAGTTAGCTGTATATAATTATGTTCATGACTCACAATTTACCGTATTAGAAACAACGAAATTAGGTTTCAATTTAGAGGCTCGATCGTTTACCCAATCAACTTAACCTACAACTTTCTAGAAAGGAAAATGAGTTCAGTTTTACTTCAACGCTTCGCAAATTATTGTTGCTTTAACTCACGCAACTACAAATAGCAACTTAGATTTAAGCACAGATAATATAGATAACAATTTCATTAATTTTAAACTAAATCCAAAGAATAATTTTAGGTAATCGCGACATCGTGTCACATGGTTTCACTTGTTCTTAAATGACAATTATTTTCCCGTACCGTCCCTATCGGCATTCAACAACTGTCAGCCGAGCCAAGGCAAGTAAAGGTTGGAGTTTCTTTAGCTGGTGAGAAGGTGCGTTGCTACACGAGGGGTGTCGCAACAGTCCCCCCCAGTGGTTGGACCCTGGTCCCGATCACTCTTGTCTGCACCGACGTCCAGCACTGCCAGGCGAACTGCCGGGCGCTCGTACATACCTGAAGCCGTCCGTACCGTCGCCGATCGTACTTGACCATCCTTGGATACCTTCGTGTTGACTACCCTGCCTTTGGGCCAGCAATTTCTCGGGAAACTTGGGTCCACGATAATCACGATGTCTCCTATCTGGATCTGTCGATCGGCCGAAAGCCATTTAGTTCTTCTAGTAATTTCAGGGAGGTACTCCGCCAACCACTTCTTCCAAAACATATTGGCTAGGACTTGTGATGATTTCCAAGCACTTCGGAGAGCTAAGCCGCTATCATCGTGGAGTACTAGGGGTTTCGAACCATCGGTAGAGCCCAGCAGAAAGCTATTCGGGGTAAGAGCCGGGGCAGCCTCGCTGTCAACTGGTACATAGGTCAGAGGGCGCGAGTTGATGATGTTCTCAATCATCACAAGAGAGTTCCTGAGTACTTCGTCTGTTGGCAGCCGTTGAGTTGGAAGTATGCTGGTCAAAATCTTCTTTACTGATTGTATCAGTCTCTCCCAGCTTCCTCCCATATGAGGAGAAGCAGGTGGGTTAAACGACCATTTGAGGTTCTCGGTCGTAAACTCTTTCATCAGCCGCTCTTGATCTACCTGTGCTAAAGCTTCCTTCAGCTCTTTACTCGCACCGACCAGGTTGGTTCCTCGATCACTAACAATCTCGATTGGAGATCCCCGTCGCGCTATGATGTTTTGCAGGCACATTATACAGGAGTCTGTCGTCAACGAATGAGCCAGCTCGATATGCACAGCTCGAGTGGTCAGACACGTAGCTAGCACGCCCCAGCGCTTCTCAACACGGCGACCGATTACTACCTGCATCGGGCCGAAATATTCAATGCCCACGTAAGAGAAAGGCCTAACAAATGCCGCGAGTCGAGTTTTCGGTAAATCGGCCATTGAAGGAGGCTGTGGTTTAGCAGTCATGCTTTTACATTTCTGGCAATTTCGACGAGTTTTGTTGAGAACTACCCGCAAACGAGGAATGTAATATCTTCGCCGTATTTCGTTCAGCACGGTCTGGTGGCATTGGTGATGGAATTCCTCATGAACTTTTTGAACGACCAGTGATGTGATGTAGTGCTCTCGAGGAAGGATGACAGGATGCTTCGTAGACTCATCAATTAAATCGCAAGCGCTAATGCGACCACGCATACGCATCACCCCAGCACTATCGAGATATGGTTCCACTTTATACAGAGAGTTACCTTTAGGTAGAATCCGCGTACCAAGAGCCGGTCCAGGTTTCGCAAGCAGCTTCCGTTCCTCACTGTAGATGTCCTCTTGAGCTCGGCGATAGATATAACTGGCAGCGTCGTTCAATTCATCAGCACTCAATGGACCAGTATCAGGTTGTTCGGCAGCTATCTTTTTCCGGAGATTCCTGGGAAACCGCATTACGAACGCCACAGCATGAAGCAAACGTTTCCAACATGAAAAGTCTGTTGGAGTAAGAACCCAATCATCAACGTCACGGTGGTGTAGCAAGTTTTGACGGTTTTGACGGTTTTGACGGAGCTCCTCTTTGGTGGATTCTAAAGCTGGGAGCTTCGGCCAGTTTTCTTCCGGTTGCAGCAAAAATTCAGGGCCGTTGAACCACCGACTATCATAATCAAGGCTTGGTGCACGCTTCCACTTCGTGGCTTCGTCGGCAACGTTCAATTTCGTAGGCACCCATCGCCATTCAGCAACATCCGTGGTCTCCAACAGCTCACTTACACGGAAAGCGACGAACTGGCTATATCGTCGATGGTCGGAATTCAGCCAGCATAAGACGTCACGAGCGTCTGTCCAGAAGAATCGCTTGGTGATGTTGTACGAGTGGCCTTGTTCTACGGCTTTTGCCAATCGGGCGCCGATGACCCCTGCCTGCAGTTCTAAGCGGGGTATGGATACAAACTTGAGCGGTGCGACACGACTTTTGGCTCCGATCAATGAGCATTCGATTTGATCATCCTCTTCAAACCGGAAATAACACACAGCAGCGTAACCGTTCTCGCTTGCGTCCACGAATATGTGGAGTTGAACGGAGGAATGTACCGACGTCTTCTGGCGGTAGCAGCGAGGAATCCGCAAATTTTCAAGCTTCGGTAGAAACTGCAACCAGATCTTCCACTTCTCCCATTCACGTTCCGCAATGCACTCGTCCCAGCTTACTCCAGACCGCCAAACTTCTTGCAAGAGCATCTTCAAAAACATCAAATAGTTTGCGATGAGCCCAAGTGGGTCGTAGACGCTCATCATCGTTCGCAGTAGCTCCCGCTTAGTTGGGCGTCTCGTTCCAGAGAGAATGTCCATGTTACGTTCCAGGAACAGCTTGTATGAGAAGACATCCGAGTTCGTCGACCACCACATGCCAAGAACCTTCTCGTTGGCGACGTCTACCACCGTGTCTAAGTTCTTTTCAGCAACTTCTACTGCACCAAGAGCCGTGAGAACGTCACGCGAATTAGAAACCCAGTTAGTCATTTCAAACCCAGCGCGAGAGTGGATCTCTCTAACTTCCTTCGCTAGCTCGATTGCTTCCTCCACGTTCTGGACGCTCGTGTACATGTCGTCAACGTAATGCGATTTTACGATTGCATCCACCGCAGTCGGAAACTGACGCCGGAAGCGCTCCGCGTTTTCGTTTTTAACGAATTGGGCTAGGCTGGGTGAGCACGTCGCCCCGAAGGACATAACCATCAAGACGTATACGTCGGGGTTGTTTTGATCCTTACCGCTGCTCCACAGGAATCGATGACATTGTTGGTCTGCCTCATTCATCAGCACCTGGTGGAACATCTCACGTACGTCTCCTCCCATGGCCACCAGGTACTGTCGGAACTTGTAGAGTACCGCTGGGAGCTCCGTGACCCTTCATTAATACGGACCCTTCATTAATACGGAGTTTAGGGAGATGCCGTTTACAGTAGCGGCAGCGTCCCAAACGATTCTCAGTTTGCCAGGCTTATTGGGGTTGAACACCGGAAATATTGGCAGATACCAAATCCGATCGTACGATTGCGTCAGTTCTTCGGGTGTCAACTTTCGTGCGTATCCTTTGCGCAAATAATCCTCCATTTTTGCTCTAAGTGCTGCGCCAAGCTGGGGTTCTCTGGCCATCCTGCGTTCTAAACACTGCCATCTTTTAATCGCCATCGTCTTGTTGTCGGGTAGCCTTACGTCGTCATATTTCCAGAGAAGCCCTGTTTGGTAGCGCCCATTCCGTGGAGTGGTAATGGAACGCATCATGGACCAGGCGCGCTCATCCTCACTGGAAACGATCAGTTTGTCCGGCTTTGTAATTCCAATGCTATCAAGAGCGAAGAAACTTTTCACAGCTCTATGTAGATCGTCATCAGCCTGACCGGAGTTCGGGCAGATGTGGTAACTGTGGTGGGTGGTATAGCCTTCTTGGTGTTGATCGCCAGCATGTACGCCATATACCATCCACCCTAAGCGAGTTTTCGATGCGACAGGCTCGAACTCTTTTCCTTCACGGCTGTCAAGAACGTGACCTACACGCCAGTTGTTAATTCCAATCAGGATCCTTGGGCGCACGTTGCTGTAGGAATCGACCGGTAAGCCCTTGAGATATGTGTATGTGCCAGCTAACTTGTCGAACGCCAAAGTTTGAGGAGGAAGCTTGAGTTGCTTGACGGTGTGTACCTCCGGAAGTTGATAACGTGTCCCTTGATTGCGAGAACCGGAAATTAGCAAGGACACCTTTTGCGACGAATCCTCGTAGCGGCACGTATCTGCTGTCCATTGTAAGCATAGTGGGTGATCGACGCCGTCGAGCTGCAATTCGGTCGCCAAATCTTCCTCAAGCAACGTCAACGACGAACCGTCGTCTAAAAAGGCATAGGTTTCGATTTTAGTCCCACGTCCGTACAGCACAACGGGTACGTATCGGAACAGGACTGCCTTGCCGTCGCTACGATGGGTATTGCAGATGGTTTGCGTAGTTGTTACAGCCGATGACGTACCTGGCTTTGGTGTAGCAGGCATTGGCTTAGAATCTCGCTGTTGTGACGTTTGCGGTTTTTGCGACGAATTATTGTGTAGCAGCTGATTGTGCTTGCTTGTACACCCGTTGATTCCGCATTCATTCGTTGACCTGCAGAACCCTCGATGTTTCTTGAGGCAACGCCGGCATAGTTTGCGTTCTCTGACAGTCGTCCATCGCGTAGAGTGATCATAACTAAGGAACTTCTTGCAGTGCTCGGCCGAAGCACACTTCCCATCGCAGACGAAACATCCTTCACGTTTATCGTCGCCAATCGGCTTTCTCTCCGGATACGATGACGTTTCGTGGTGTGCGTTCAGAAAACTGTCATCCTTTCGACCACGCCTTGGCTTTGATTCAGCAGTTGCGATCGGTGGGGGAATCGTTACGAGGCTAGCCGCCTCTGCCAGACTGTTGAGCCAGGCACTGAAGTCACCAAGCGAAACTTGGTTCATTGCCTGACGATGCATGGCCCAATTCAATTTGATCATTGGGGGCAAACGATCCACAAGCTCCTGTAGCAGAGATATGTTGTACAGGTACCCTTCCAGATTGCACGCTTGGACATTAGCGACCATATTCCGAACGGCCACTGCGAAGTCTACCAGTGAACCCATCCTGTCGACCCTCGGTGCTGGCAACGCATGGATCTTGCGGATTATTGAATACACGATTATCTCCGGGCGACCGAAAAGCATCCTTAGTGTAGAGATGACGTTGTCCACATTGGTTGCGTGCAACAGCTGACTTCGAACAGCCTCTTTTGCTTTCCCCTGGAGGCATCTTTGTAGTCGAATCGTATTTTCTTCCTGACTATAGCCGCACATCCGTGTTGTGCTCTCAAACGTGGCCACGAAAAGAGGCCATTCTTCAGGGTCACCACTAAAAGTTGGCAGATCCCTTGGGACGGCTTGACGGGCGGCAATTTGGCTCCTGTTCAACATCATCGAATTATCGTATGCATCAGTGCAATCTTCGTGGCGGGAGTGAAATATAGGTGCTTCCGGTCGTAAATTTGTGGTAACCGGAGACGAATGAAACGGTGGGGCACCAGGGGAACCAGCGTTCGTGATACTAGCCTGTAACGGGGAGGAAGAACCACCGGCGGCTTCCATCATGATCTGGTACTTTCTTTCCAGATATTTGCGCTCGAGGGCTTTCTCCTCCTCAAGCATCTTCAATCGTATCTCCGCTTGCGCTACGGTTAAATTTCCTCCACCATTCGTAGTGTTTTGCTCTAGCTGTTCTATGTTTCCACTAGTCGATCTGGGCAAATTCTTCGGAACGAAATCTCCTTGGCCGTTTGACGATACCTTCTGCTGCAAATTTATTTGACCGGTGGCACCTTCGATGGGCTGCGTGGGTGGATTATTCTGAATCGGGGATTTTTCTCTGGATTTGGCTGCTTTTTTAGCTGCTTGGCATTGTTGGCAGCTCCAGTCGTGGTCCTCGACATCTTGCGTCACACTTACACAGCCAAAGTGATACCAAATGCTGCAGTCATCGCATTGGACCATCCGGCTATCATCGTTCAACTTGCAGATAGGGCAGCTCGGGCAGCCGAATTCGCTGTATCCCGGCTCTTGTGGGGTTCGATCAAGTGGCATCGTTTCGCAGTCCGGGAAAAACGAAATTTTAAATTGTTGGTTTTCCAACGAAGAGAAAGTAGACTCCGAACGTTTAACGATTTATTGAGGATACGTTAAAATTTCCTGGAATGATTTATGCCGTTGAAATTACAGTTCTTAGCTTCTAGTAGTATAATATCTTACGTTTTGTAATTCTCCGTCGTTGTAACCCGGTAACGAAACTGTTTTATAAGAAACTGGCCAACTCCTGAACCGAGTCCTGAACGGGGTGATAGTTCGAGTTAGCTGTATATAATTATGTTCATGACTCACAATTTACCGTATTAGAAACAACGAAATTAGGTTTCAATTTAGAGGCTCGATCGTTTACCCAATCAACTTAACCTACAACTTTCTAGAAAGGAAAATGAGTTCAGTTTTACTTCAACGCTTCGCAAATTATTGTTGCTTTAACTCACGCAACTACAAATAGCAACTTAGATTTAAGCACAGATAATATAGATAACAATTTCATTAATTTTAAACTAAATCCAAAGAATAATTTTAGGTAATCGCGACATCGTGTCACATGGTTTCACTTGTTCTTAAATGACAATTATTTTCCCGTACCGTCCCTATCGGCATTCAACAACTGTCAGCCGAGCCAAGGCAAGTAAAGGTTGGAGTTTCTTTAGCTGGTGAGAAGGTGCGTTGCTACACGAGGGGTGTCGCAACACTGCCTATGATACTATTTGCCGTGAAGAGCTATGAAAGATTATGGACGAGAACAGTTTTCCCGGGAAGCTGAACAGACTGATCAGGGCTACGATGGATGGTGTACAGTGCTGCGTGAAGATATCGGGTGCGTAATCGGACTCGTTTGAAACTCGCAAAGGACTTCGACAAGGCGATGGTCTTTCCTGCCTCCTGTTCAACATTGCGCTAGAAAGTGTTATGAAACGTGCGGGCTTTAACATGCGGGACACGATCTTTAATAAGTCCAGCCAGTTCATCTGCTTCGCTGACGACGTGGACATTGCCGGAAGAACGTTTCAGGCCGTGGCGGAGCAGAACACCAGGCTGAAACGTGAAGAAGAGAAGGTTGGATTAAAGGTGAATACGTCGAATACAAAGTATCTGTTAGCTGGAGGAACCGAGCGGGATAGGGCTCGCATCTTAGGCAGAAGCGTGACAATCGACGGAGATGAGTTCGAGGTGGTGTATGAATTTGTGTACCTCGGATCATTGGTGACGTCAGATAACAACTGCAGCAGAGATATTCGCAGATTTTTAGCGATGGGCCAATCTTAGATCCACAGGCCAACATTAGAGACATTTCCCCTACTATTGACGACAAATAAACAAATATTGTGTGTTCAAAATTCATCAAAAAAGTAGAAGGGTCTGTGCCTAGGGGCACGAACGGAAGCTTGACGAAGGACCGCTAGTGGACGGAATAAATGTGAAGAACATTTAGTTCTTTTAATTGATCAATTATCTATTATCTCAACTCTTTCCGTTTTTGAATTGTTGGCGTACCAAATTTGTAGTATTTTTTTTTTTCAAAGAGAAATGTGATTATGAGAATCAATCAAAATAACTTGCACCCCTGCTTCCAAGTTTGGTTACAAGATTACAACTCTGGAGAGCATTTCGTGTGGTCGTTGGGGGGCTTGTGGTTCTGAATATGGACAAACAAGCACAGATAAATTCTATTCCAACTCTTTACTGATGTAAGCTTGATGGCCCTGAAAAGGGCCGTTTTATTGAAGAGGACATCCATGACCACTTACGCTTGGCGTGTTTAGTGTAGGTGACAGCATCATGGACCTCATTTTCCAGAAACACCTTCAGCACACCTCGTAGATCAGACCGGAGGTACGTTTGACACCACCATGGCGAGCCAGACGACCGAAGAACTTTGCAATGACGCTTGGCGCCTCCTTTACCAGACCTTTTCCTCCTTTGCCACGACCAGTCAATTGTTGCTTGTTAGGTGTGAAGGAGTAGACTAGCCACCACCTTCCTACTGCTGCTATTACTGTTCACCACACCGTCCGAAGCGAAAATGAGCTAATGCCATACAGCAGCGCTCTTTTATATCTTTTCAGGTTAAAGCAGAATGATGTGCAAACATGCGAAAACATGAATCAAATTTACTCATCGCAGAGGTCCTGCACATTATTTTTTATTTCTGAGATAACTAAACTCAAAATTGGGTCGATCTCATTCGCCGTGATATCACC